AATACTCGAATATGAAAAAAGTAAACTAAAATACAAGTTAATAACATGATGAACAACAGAAAAAAGGAACATAGAAGTAAAATGAAAATGGGAGTTGATAGTAGCTCAGGTCAGACGAAGTAGTGGTGACTGACAGTTGTTTTGAAAAGAAAGGGTGAAAATAAAAATAAAAGTGCCGCTAGTTTTCAGATATCTTCGTTCCACTTATAGAGAAGTTGGCGGCATTCAAAACAGTACACTGTGTATTCTCATCCAACTGTAAATTATTTAGTAGAAAAGTGTCTAGTGTAATTTCATTTAAAAAATTCAACTTCTGTTTTAATAGATTTCTTCGAAGATTATACAGTGAGCAGTTGAAAAAGTAATGTACCATATTCTAAAAAAGAAAGTTTACAAAACCCTCAGGTTTTCCAAAAGGGTTTCTGGAAAACCTATTAACGCAAATATGCCTTTTCGATTTTTTCGATCTGATAATCCCATTTAGCGGAGAAAATTGACCATATCCTGAAGGTCTGAACTCTTTCTGATGTTTATTGAGTGAATAGTGAATTTTTTAATAGGTGAAAACAGCCTGAAAACCCAAGTTTTCGTAAAACTCGCTTTTCGGTAGACTTTTAGAACTTTTTCTAAACACCAATATTGTCACAAGACTCAGCATGACCGATTACCTATAGTCCATCCGTTTTCAAGGCTACCAATAGTCACCGAGTGTCAGTCCTGGGACTCGCAAGAAATCCGACACAACATCCGAGCCGCGGAAAACCAAGGTCTCACTTGACTCTCATTTTGAAGAGGATACCTTGGGCTATAATAGCATGGAAGAAAATCAATACAATCCTATTGAAAATTTTTCCACACGGCCTGGTTTTCCAAAGATCTCGTCGCTGTTTCTCTTTGGTTTTCAATAAAAGCCGTTTTTCTCAGCAACGAAAACGAATTTTGGAAAAGCTCTATATACTTTTAAAGCTGGCGTGTTGGCCGATCTGATGGTATGTGAATCATCGATATAGCCCTTCACCCAAAAAACTAGATAGTTTTACAAAATCACCTAGTACGGTTTTGAGAGGTATGATCTTGGCTGCCAAATTCCAAAAGACTATTGCTTCCGCATTCGATTTAATATCATTTTTAGAATCAGTTTTGGATGCTATATTAGAAAAGAATAGTTTGAAAACTTGAAAAGAACCTTATAGGAAGAAATTCGAGCGACTTGAAAAACAGAGACATTTTTCGAAAAATCAGACTCTTCAAGTTTTTAAGGCTTTTCGACCTGAAGAAATGTTTTGAAAAGCTAAAACCAACTTTTTCCTACTCAGTTCGATGCACTCTTTCGAATGGTGTATGATTTAGTCGAAAGCAAGATAGTGCTCACCTTTTGAATTTCCCGCACGTTACGTCGATAAATGTCTTGTGTACAGTGAAAGAAGCAGCCACAATGTACAACCTGAGGAAACTAAATTCAAGAAAGAACAAGTATAGCTCGATAAGGATGTTGTAGGGTAATTACTTCACTGGCCACGACTGGAATTAGACGTGGCTTAAAATCGCTTAATATACGGTTTGGTTTAAATGTACGATTCATCGACATGGCTAAATCTTCTAATACTTTGAATAATTGTTGATACGTCGACCTTTTACGATCTGGTAGGAGACCAAATACATACAGAAAACCTGAGAAAGAAGGAGAAAAGAATAATGATGATGATGGTAGAGAACCTAAAGGTCGTATTACTAGTTCCAAATTTCATAGCGTTTATCGTACAAACCTGATCGAAGAATGGAAGTGTGGAACTAAACGTTCCATCCATAAAAATGGTGGGGCTATCAAATAACAATTTCAGTTGGGCAATACTGCCAAAGAGTAGTATCCGTTTTCTTTGACGAATGAATGTACCAGAAAATAAAAATTTTTTATCTTTTGTGGTTACCTGATAATCATCAGGAATATCAAATGTAGATGAAGTAGGCAGAACGGGTGTCATTTGACGTCGCGCTTGTGCCAATCCAGACTCCAAAATAGAAAGCATGCTCTTGAAAACCGTCTGTAAGTGCAAGTAGTTGAACTTACGCATTTCACGTGCCATTGGTATAGTTGCTAGAGTCTTTGTTGAAAGTTGAGATTTGACAACCTCTTCTTCGTATATTTTCATTATTGGTGTGGTTTCGAGTATAACACGTTGTTTCACATTTTTACGAAACATTT